CTTCTCAAGAGGTAACTACTGTCAGCCATGGAATGTGTTCTACTAGTCATTTTTTGGTGCATTTACATATACAAGTATACACATATGTGCATATTTTTAAAACAGAACTCATTCTGTGCTACTAGTGACTTTTAAAATCTCAACAATATGGCATGAAATTTTCTTTTAGGTCATTACTTATATCTTTATTTTTAAAGGCTAGAGATAATTATTCAGAAGTATGGATGGGATATAATTTATCTAACCTATATCCCTGTTGATAAACATTTGTTGGGTTATTCCACTTCTTCAGTTTCAGTGTTTATGTCAATTTCTGTATCTATGCATCTTTGTGTGCATTTCAGTGTTTCCTAGGTCAGAGATTACTAGGAAGGGATTCCTGGAAAAGAAAGTGTTGCTCCTCTTTGAAAGATTGATAGATGCTGCCTAATTGACAACTGTAAAAGCCGGACCTATGGTCCTTTCCATCCACAGCACTTAAGAGAGCCCTGTCTGAGCAGCTTAAATAACGTTGCATATTGTCCAACTTTTGTGTCTTTCCTCTGTGTTTTCACATGCTTGCAGGAATACCAGTTACAGTTTTATTTTTATTCTCATTGTTTCCTTTACCTTGAACATAAATATTTTCATTGACATTAAAAATTCCATGTCAACATAATTTTGATGGCTACATAATCTATTCACCCACATAGGATGCATTCCAGAACTGAACTTGTAAGCCGTATTGTTTCAGGCATCATGACAAGAAAAAAATATATCTCTTTGATATAGATGGAGCTTTGTTGAAAAAAATTGTTCCACTTGAGGTTGGTTGAATGTAAATGTAAACTGAAGAATTCAGGGACAAATATAATTATGTAGGGAGTGTTGCAGTGGTATGCAAAAGCACAAGAGGGGATCCCTGAAGTTGAGGCTCTCCATCAAAATTAAGTTGACATGATCAGCTTTGCAGTACTCTTGAAAGATTTCTTAGAACTGATGCTAGAGCTGCGCCCCTGCAGTGATCCGCTTCCAGGAAAGCCCGAGGAGACAGTCTTCCAGGCCTCTCACCAGCCAGACCCTGAGCTGCCCCAAACATTTCTAAGAAGCTTTGCTCCCTTCAGAATCCTGAGAGCTCGCAGTCTGCCAGACTGAGTTCAGCTGCTGAGTGTGCAGTCATCGCTTATACAGACACTCTGTCCCTTGCATGACACATAGCTGAAACGAGGGCTTGCTGGGGTCATTGAACTTTTGTTCGTTTTCTGAGACAAGGTGTCACTGTGTAATTCAGGCTAGCCTTGAACACCCTGTGTAGCCCAGACAGGCCTTGAACTCATGGCGATCCTCTCACTCAGCCTCCCAAGCTGGCGTAACAGGCATGCTATCATTTCTGCTGGGGAGGACAGGATGGCTATTGGGATGGATAAAACTTAAAAAAAAAATAGTAATCATCCTTCTGGGAAGAATACTTTTGCAAATTTTGACTCTTGTACCCAGGACCCTGAGCCATCTGCTGTCCTGTGATAAGAAAAGGAAAACTTATGAGAGAGTAGATCTTCCGAGAGGAAACAAGGCCACACAGACCAAGAAGCCTTGAAATCTTAGCAGATTTCTAAAGGACATCGAAAGACACACAACAGAGCTTTGTGGTCCTTGTTATAGACATGAAAGTATCTGTACATCCTGGTGTGCGTAGACTGACAGTCACAGAGAAACTTAGAGGCCACCAAAAAATAAGAATGCCTCCATGATTTATTAATTTTTATTCATTACATTTGGGGCATGCAAGCACAGTTTTTCTTTCTTAATTCAGACAGGTTAATTCCATTCCAAAGCCAGCATTCAGTTCCCTGTTTTCTGAGTTGTCTATAGTCTTTGAGGTAGTTCTACAAATAGCCAAATTCAGATTTTTGGTGTTATCTAGAAACATTGGCCTTTGTTGTCTTAGTTACCTTCCTATCATTGTGACAAACTACCCGAGATAAAGAATTTCAAAGGAGAAATGGTTTGTGTTCATGATGGCTTTTCTTATTGTTGTTGTTGTTGTTTTCATGATACTAGGGACTAAACCTAGAGCCTTTACACTGAGTGACATTCTGAGCCCATTTTTAATTTATTTTGAGACATAGTCTTGTCAAGCTTCCCACAGGCTGAGCTCAAATTTGTGCCCATCCTGCCTTAGCCTCTCAGAGTGGTAAGATTACAGGCCAATCCTGATTGGCTCCACTGCTTTAGGCCCAAGGTAGGCCCAAGCAGAGGAAAGCAGCTCACTTCATGGCAGCCTGGAAGTGAGAGAGAGGGGAAGAGGGCGGCTGTCCCAATAGCTCCTCTGGCCACACCCCCAATGACCTCACTTCCCCATGCTAGGCCACACCCCCAAAGACCTCATTTCCTCTCACTAAGCCCTCTTTTTAAAGGTACCACTGCCTCCCTCTAGTGTCCCAGACTGGTGACCAAGCTTTGGCACGTCGTCTTTGGAGGACATTTAAGATCCAAATCATGAAAAGTATATTTTTAGTTTAAGAACTTTTCCATTTCACAACAGTAACACCTGCTTAGAAACAGCCCGCATCACAAAGTAAGTGGTTTGACCAGCTGCCGAATGACAGCACAAAGGGAGGGAACAGGCATGACACTAGACAGGTGGCTTCCAGGGCTGGAGCGAAGGCAGGGAAGAACCTGTCTGGCTTCCATGTTGGCCCAACAAATGGTGTGTTTGCCACATCATCACTCTCACCTGTGCTGTCAAGGAAAGACACGGCCTCTGGCATCATCATCAGCTGCAGTGAAGGAAGCCTGTTTCCTTGGAGACCCAGATCTAACAAGCATAAGGAAAGCTTGAAAACCATGTTTTGGGATGTGTTTTGTGGCGGGGGCTGGAATGATGAGCCCCGGGAACAGCTCACTGGAAGACCGCGAGCAGATGTGGTCCTCCTAGGACCTCAGCAAGGCCTGTCTAATGATCAGAGCCGTTTACTGCTGTGATCTCTCCCCTCACCCTGTCCCTGTGATTGTCAGAGAGAGAGACTCATTCCCCCAGCACGTTAGCACAGCAACTTTGTAGTGGCCTGGTGACCTCTTCAGCCGGAGAACTTGCATCTGTCTCCGGTCACATATGGGCCTTGACTAATCCAGTGTTGAGTTGGTGGCTCAGGGCAACCTGACTTCAGTAGAGGTAAGAGAGCTTCTGATTTCTGAGCTGCTTTGGGGACTGCCGTGTTGTCTTGCAGCTCTCTGCTGGAAGTGGTGATGTGGCCTCTGTCCACATTTGCTGGAATCATGGGAACACCTGCCACCCTCCCCCTTCTGAAATCTACGACTCATTCATGCCCCCCAGGTTTACCAAGTGGCTCACCAACCTTTCACAACCACTTTTACTTTTGTATTTAACTTCTATTTTTATGAGTCCACCTTAAGTACGTAACAGTGACATTCACTGTGGGGCTCTGTTAGATGTGTAGAGCACATTTCTCATCTAAACCCCACCTGCTGTGAAGACTGTGTCCTTAGATTGTGATTTGAGGTGACTCTGATGAAAATAGGTGCCTCCTCTGCTATACTTCTCATTCCTGAGGTTTTTGCTTCTTTGGGTTCGCAGTGCCTGCAGCCCTTGCTTGCTGGCTGTCACCTGCTGGAGCCCCAAGTACTCCACTTCCAGGTGTCTCCTAGGAGCTTCCTGGCAAGGTGTCAGCTGCCATCAGGGAAACAGCTGCTGGAATCATCTCCATGCTTGTGCATGTCCCTCCCATGACCGAGCCTGGGCTCTGGCTGGGTGCACAGGTGTATGAAAACCTGGCGCCTGTGCGGGGCAGGCACAGAGCCGTCCCATAGGGCTCCATGGGGCAGGGTAGAGAACCACGCTGGCTCCTGACTGCCACATCCCAGGTGTTACCTCTCAACACAGTGTCACAGGAAACTTGAGTGCACCCCAGTTCTTCTGTGGGCTGCCTGATCCCCTTCTCTGCCTTCCCAGCCTGGGCAGTTCCTGGGTCATCCTTGTCCCTGGTCTCTCGTAATCCACCCTGGCCATTGTTGGCTGTCCTTAGTCACAGCCCGACACTGCTGGGCAGGGCCAGAGCAGTTTTCCCTCCACTCTGTAGAAATGCTGTGTCTCAGGCAGTGAGCGGTACACGCCAGCTTCTGCCACGTCAGTTTGGAACTGTGCTGCCTGCTTTGCAGCTGTCCCTCGGTGTCCTTGGGAGATTGGCTTCCTGACCACAGGACACCAAAATCTGAGGGTGCTCAAGTCTCTCACATAAAATAGCACCACATTTGCCTAGAGCCTGCGCCTGCCCTCTGCATCCCTCACAGCGCCTAACACAGTACAAATTCTGCATAAATTATTGTGGGGCTGTGAACCTGTGTGGGGCAGGTGACAAGAAAAGCACACACATTCAGGCCAGGTGTTTTCTTCTTTAACGTTTTTGGCGTGTGGTGGGTTGAGTGCGCAGCTGCAGAACTAAACATCTGGAGGGCACAGTGTGTGCAGAGGCCTGCAGCAGGGGCAGCCTGGGCCGCGGATCCCACCCATGAGTGGCCCCTTGTGTCTCCGTGCCTGGGAAAGCAGTGTTCTCCCTGCAAGTAAGGTGTTGCTGTCCTGCTTAAGAGCCCCGAGTTGGCTTCTTATTACCAAAAACTGGAAAATATTGGGTGTTTCTAGGAAGGCGCTATCGTGCTTGAATTTCCAAAAGAACAGTTCTTTTTGCACTCCTGGTTTCTACAGTGTTAGCTGTTCAAAGTGGTCAGCCCTAGAACCTGTATATTACACGTGGAGCCCCTCAGACGTCCGCCTTGCTGTGTGTCCCAGTACGTAGCTCTGTTCTCCTCCAGTTGTGCTTGTTTGGGGGCCGCAGAAAGATACACTTCCCTTCTTGTTTTCTAGCGGCTCAGGACTGGCGGCTGCGGTGTGCGTTGCAACCAGGCTCTTGCGATGCCCACAGAGCATCCCTGCCTTCTCTTCGGGTGTCCCGCAAAGCATCCCTGCCTTCTCTTCGGGTGTCCCATTGTTGACCTGTGACCTGATTTGAAATCACAGCGTGTGAGTGACAATTGCTGCATGGGTCAGTGACCCTTTTACATGGTTTCATGGGGACAGCTGAAAGCTATAGCCCCCTGACATGGTCACCCCAGGAAGTGACCTCAGCCGGTCCCCCGGAGCCCCAGATTCCGTTGCCTCCTTGGTAAGAGGAAGGTGTCAATGTGTAGAGCCAGAAGCTAAGAGGAGAGAATGCTTGCTGAAGAGTTGCATACGAATGAAAAGTCGTATTGTTTTGCGACTTGCTGCTGTGACCAGTCCGTCACTCAAACCCCGGTGCGCCCAGCTGGGTAAATGCCAGCCTCAAGAGGTTTTCCTCTTGAAGGAAATACTTGATTTGTTCAGACAAGGTACATGCTAGCAATTAAAATCCCAGTATTTCCCAGCACACCCTTAAAGGCTAGACTAATGGGAAAAGCGAAAAACTTCAGCTATGGAGACCAAACCCTTAGCAGGGCTTGGCAGGCACTGGGGTTGCGCTGTTTGCTTCCCGAAGCTCTTGCCATTTGTAAGAACAAAGTGCCCTGATAACCTTCCATGCGTGGGATGGCAACCCAGCCTCTGTGTATTCCCGTGGATCCTGAGATTTTATGAAATGTCGCTATGGAGCTATTTTGCCGTGACAAATGTGACTTGCGCTATTTCGTGTGACCTTTCCTTTTTCCAAAGGGGATTGGTCTGAGGAGCCAGAGCTCAAATCCTACCACTCTAGGATTCTGTCGTTCAGCTTCGATGTCAGAATTCCCCACAGGACTAGGCAATGCTGATTGACAGCGAGATGGGGAATGTCTCACGTGCATGCAGTGCTGGGGAAGAGGCTGGTTTGAGGTGGAAGGAGAGGAGCTCAGTGGTCACCCTGTCCCCTGAGGCTCCTGTTTTCCAAGTGCAAATTGGACACGAAGGCAGCAGAGGGGTCAGGCTCTGGCCCTGGAGCTTGCAGGCGACTGGCAGCCCTGCTGTCCCCTTCCGGGTGACTCCATGCTTCCCTTCTCTGCTGGAAGCCAGAAGGTTTAGTCACCTGGCACATAAGGGCTTCTCAGGCTCAATTCCAATAAACCTGCAAGAAGAAGGCTCCCCAGCTCCAGCCACTGCGTGCCCCAGAAGGCCCGGGAGGGACACCCTGCAGACTCAGCAGCCAGCTCAGCCCTGCGTTACCTTATCTCTCTGCATGCACACCACAGCCTGCACCCTGACGTGAGTACAGTAAGATAAGGAGGCAGCGTGGGCACAGCGAGAAATTAGGACAAGGCTGGACATGGACTGTCCACTGTCCCTGGGAACCAACTCACTGTTAGTTCCTGACATCAACTTCAAGATAAGCAGAATGAATACACCGAGCTCATTCATGTCTATGTTGTTGAAGATGTCTGCTCGCCTTTATAACTTTAGTGTGTGATGCCTGGGCTCAAAGCCAGGGCCTCATACCTGCCCAGCAAATCCCTAGCACAGGCCTGTGCTCCCTGCTGCTAGTGACTTTTGAAAATTGACACATAGCTCAGTGGTACAGTGCCTGCCTAGAAAGCACAAGGTCCTGAGTTTGATTTGTGGTACCAAAAAAAAATTGGCAGATAGCTGTACATATATACAGAGTCTGGTGTGCTCTTAAGGCTCATTTGTGTATTGATACTCTGCAAACACAGGTTATCCATCATCTCAAACCTTTAAGCATTTCTTTAGGATAAGAATATTCCAAAGCCAAGCATGATGCTGCACACCTGTAATCCCAGCGCTGGGGAGGCTGAGACAGGAGGAGGATCATTGTGAGTCTGAACTGTGTAGCGAGACCCTGTATAATTTTTTTTAAAAATGAATATTCAACATCCTGTCACATAGCTGTTCTGAGTCATACAATAGTACTGCTGGTGCCTTGTTCATACGTGTTTGCAGTGCATGCTGATTGCGCTTATCAAGGGGAGTTGTACATGTTCAGAACGCTTCTTAATTCTTTTCAGCCCCTTTCCACCTCCTCTCCCTCCCCGTATCTTGGTTCCCTTCCCATCTGCAAAAGCTCCGGCTCCCCGTTTCCTATTATCCATCCTTTTCTTTGTTCCTCAGATTGTTTATGCTTTGGGTTTCTCATCTAGAAGAAGCCTTGTGCTATTGAGATGTGTGTCTGATGATTCTCAGCTGACATTAGAGTCTCGAGGTGCATGCTTTTTCCTAAATATTGTTAATGCTAACCAGCCTCTGCGTACTAAAACAGCAGAACTTTTCCTCCTAGCTGGCTATAACTTATTTTCACAACTTTTCTTAGCACTTCTCAGGCGTGGTAAGGGAGATCAAGGTCAGCCATAGGATTTTCTCACCTGTAGTCCTTCACCTCATAAGTTTGTCACTGCCACTCTTTGGGCTTCTTCTGATCATGTTTCCTTACTCAGTATACAAGGTAAGCCGTCCTTAGGTCTAGGAGTCATTGGGGAGGAGCCATGGTTGACTATCACTGTCCCTCACCTCTGCTCCTTTGGTCTGACAACAGTCCCTTGAAGGAAGTGCTGTTATATAAAATGCCCATTTAATGTATGTGACACTGAGGCTGCCAACGCTGACGTGACTCATGCAGGGACTGTCAGGGCCAGAGCCTGAACGAAGCCCTTTCAAAAAGGACAGAAATAGAGCAGCTGGTGTTTATTTACTCTTTATGAAATGCCACTTCCAAGAAGAGAGAGTGTGTATCTAGAACAGATTAAGCCTTTGGAACATGACTTCTCTGGCAGGAGTGGCTTTCGGGAGTGAGGGTGTTGTGCGCTCGGGTATTGTGCACTCGGTGTACGCAGTTTTGGAACCCGCTCTGCCCAGCCCTTCAGAGGAGGAGACCGCCATGAAAGGGCACAAAAAGAAACACTTGCAGAAAAAATTTTTAGGGCAAATTCATTATTCTGTTCCTGCCATCTTTTAGTAGCTAACCTGCTTTTCAAAACTGCTTCTGTGGCTGTAATGAGGGCTGTTAAATCAGGACACTCGTTCCGTCTCGCCTCATTTTCTTGGAGTCAGGGACATCTTTCTTCAGCTGAAGTTAGTGCAGAGATAGGGGCTATCAGGTGTGACATTTGTAAGCCACTGTGTCACTTGGACTGGGCTGGTGGAGGTGCTGGGAACCCAGCAGTGGGCTGATTTATGGAGAAGTGTCTAGGAGTCAGGCCAGGCCACCCTGAAGCATCCTCATCCACATGGGACCACACACGTCTGCACTCCGTCATTTAAAGGGAAACAGGAGCCAGGAAGGTGTGACGGATGTTTAAGTATCAGGACTTGGGTGCCTGCCTTCCTGCCACCACCATTTATGAGAGCAGAAACAAAATCCAAAAAGAAACCTAAGAGAATCTGGCCTGTTGGAGCCCTGACCTATGCATATTACATACACGTGTGTCAAGCACGTCAGTGATGGGCGGCCACCTTACTCAGATTTGTTCCACACCTACACCAGAGGAGTGGAGTCAACCACCAGGCACTTTCTGAGAATATGTGAGCTGCCCTCACCATGCTATTTCTGTTTTCTTTGCAGAATCCTTTAGTAACAGCTATCTGAATTAGTCTGGGCTGCGTGGAATTTCAGAGAGTTCTAGGAAACTAACACTCAACATGGCTGCAGAAGGGTTTCAGATATTAGAAGGCAGGGCAAGCCAAATGCTGCCATGCGACAATAATGACAGGGTGTGGTGCAGTGGGATGACTTGTGGTAGGGGCCAACTCTAGAACTATAGGAGATAATCATGATTGGAGGAGTAGCTCAGTTCTGATTGTGCAACTCCTGCACGTTGGTCAGCGTTCCTTAATTGTAACAAAACACCTGAGGCAACCAGCGAAGAACAGGAAAGTTTTACTTTGGGTCACAGTTTTGGCGATTTTCATTCATGACTGACTGACCCTGCTGCCTTGGACCACAGTAGGACCAGGTGTTAGGATGAATTGTTTACCAGAAAAATGGAAGAGAAGGAGAGAAAAGGCCAGGATCCCATTGTATGCCCCAGTAACTGGTCTCCCTCCTTATGAACCCCTCTCTTTAAGGGGCATTTCCAGTAGTTCATGGCTGGGGGGAGGCCAGAGACACATGGGCCCCTGGGGAGCATGCTCAACCCAAATGCTTGCATGCAGGTAAGCTGTACGCCTTAGTCACTTTTTCCTTCACTGGAACAGAGTACCTCACACCCACAGCTTAAGCCAGGAGGGTTTTATTTTGGCTCACATCTCAGTTCTTGGTTGTCTGGGTCCAAGGCAGGGCAGCATGGTCCACGGGCACCATGGAGAACTGCTCACAGCACAAGAAGCAGACAGAGAAGAGAGGAGGGTGGAGAGATGTGCAACCTTCCAGGCCATGCCCACAGCACCCGCCTCTTCAGACCAGGGCCCGCCTCTGGCAGCGAGTTTGCTCTGAGCCGCATAATCCAGGCCCCCTCCCAAGCCCCCACTTCAATTGCTCACGGCTCTAGGGCATCAAGGTAGAAACCGAATGTGAAGCCTGTGAAGTGCCCTTCCGCATCAGCTCCCTACACAAAGCGTTTGGCATCTTGGTTTCAGTACTTACCTGGTTCCAGCGTCACAGTTTCTTTTTTTTTTTTTTTAATTTATTTTATTTTATTTTTGGTGGAACCGGGGATTGAACTCAGGCCCTTGCGCTTGCCTGAGAAGCGCTTATTCCACTTAGCCATCTCCCTGGCCCCACGGCGTCACAGTTTCATGTCCTTGAGGAAGATGAATTCCTGGGACACCACCAGGGTCTAAAGGAATGGTTCTCTTCAGCTTTCCCAAAGGGGGACAGGTTTGGCTAGAAACAGGAAAGAAGCGTGGAAGGAAGAAGAGAGATTTATAAATTCTGAATCATGATATTTTTGTTTGTTTGGGGGCCGAGTTTGAGGCCTGAGAATTGATACCAAAGATACTTTTGATCACTGTAGCGCAGCTCGGCTGGTGGCCGCAGTCACACTGCTAGTGCCAGTAAGTCACGTTTTTCACGGACGCCTGAGTCATGCAGGAGCACCCCTCCTTCCTGAACCAATTCATGTTCCAGGGTGAATCTAGTATCCCAAGGAGAGATTTGCTCAGAGGAGAAGGCCAAAGTCGCTTGAATCTAGGCAGAAAAGGCAATTCACTCAGATAGCTTGAGGCCCAAGGCGTATCGACTTTATGTTCTATCTGAAAATTAAATTGTAAAAGATCATATTTATCTTAATGTCTTTTTCTTTCTGTTAGATCTTACTAGGATTGCCATATTTTTTAGGCATAGCTTGTTATATTTTTGAAAGTTCCCTTTCAGTGACTATCCAAAAGCTCAGGGCAGTATTTGGAATTAGCGCCCAGTGTGATTAAAGAAAAAATGAATTTTCATCAAGTTGGTCTTCGGGAATCTTCAAGCTAAAGTGAAAAAATAAAAACAAACCTTGGATGTGTACTAAGAAGAGAGATGCTGTCATCCTCATCTTTGACTCTTAGGACTGGGGCCTCCAGTGAGGAGAGTGGACGGAAGGAAGCCAGGGCCTCTGATGCAGCAGGAGAAACCAAGGCCAAGCTCAGCAGTGGCGGAGCCCAGGAGAAAGCAGGTCTCTGACAGGAAGTCGCTGTCTGCTCCTTTTCTGCCCCTCCTTCCCTCATTGCCCTGCCTGTCATCTGGTGGAGATGGTGATCATTGTAGAAGCAGGGGCGGGATTGTAGATGGGGCTGGCACAGAAGAAAGCAGTGCTGTATCTTTTTTTTTTTTTAAGATGTTTAAAATTTATTTATTTATTTATTTATTTATTTAGTGTGTGTGGCCAGCTCAGCCCACCAGGGGGCGGGGCTGGCTGGCATGTGGTGCTGGGGGATTGAACCGCGGTCCCTGTGCTCTGCTAAGCTTAGTTTGTTCTAAGTAGGTGCTTTAGACCACTGAGCCATCTCACCAGCCCCAGTGCTGTATCTTTTAAGCCCTCCACTACCATCACCAGTTTAGCGTATTTTCCAATTCCCACACATAGGCTAGGTAATGACAGACACTTAAAATTCGCTTTCTGTGAATACGTGTGCTGATTGGTTTTGGAAGGCTGATTTGCGTAGTCTAAGTTGATCTGCAGGGCTCAGAGAATAACACCAGGAGACCCCGATGTAGCCCCTTTTAGCTGTGGGGAAGTCATTTCCTTCCCTTCCCCTTCTGAGAAATCCCAAAATCCAGGCACACCTCTGCAAGGGGCACTTGTGGTGACCAGATGGCATTGCAGCTGTAAAGT